AGGTGAATCGAAGTGCGTCTGATTTCTTTATAGCGGAGGTCTCTTCGGCTTTACCGTTCGCTATGGAGTCGTTTTTCGAGAACGGATTGACATTTATTGGAAACAAGATGTTGTATGGAGAAGTTATTGGTATTGTCAAATATACGCTCATAGGCCTCCATATTCCTTTAGCCTAGATAAACAAAGAAAAGAATGTTGGAGATGGTAATAGCTTCTAGATAAATTTCAGATTGGATCCACGAGTAGGCAAATGGGAAGTGGTTCGTTCGATGTCAACACGTCGAAAGCATTTGGGATCAGCAGTGTTTGATGGTCACTTGTATGCAGTAGGAGGGCGAGATGATTCATGCGAACTGAGTTCAGCTGAAAAATACAATCCTCTCACTAACGAATGGACTGCGGTGGTTGCCATGAACAACAGAAGATCTGGTGTGAGTTCGCACAGTTCGATGTTCCGAACCATGTGTTCATACAAAGGTAAGATAATAGACTGTTTCATTTTCAGGTGGGATTGGCTGTTGTTAATGAGAGGTTATATGCTGTGGGCGGATTTGATGGCACTACCTACCTCAAAACCGCTGAAGTTTTTGATCCTGAGGCAAATCAGTGGAGGCATCACGGTTGCATGAACTATCGGTTAGTTCCCGTTGAGAATCATACTTTTTTGAAATTTCAGAATTTTTTTCTATTTTTATCGTAAGTCGCCACAATTTAGGAGACTTGGAGGAGGTGTGGGTGTTATTCGGATGCCATATCAGTTCCAGCAGCAACAACCGGGATTTGATGGTGGAAATTCAACACCCTTCCCGCGCCCCCACTTCCCTACGGACATCGGATAACGAGTGTATGAGTTTGAGAGATTGTAAATTGTATATTAGATTTCTGATTAATGGTTATGGAAAGGGTTTTACGTATGTTTCACAGTATGACTGTACATCTGGTGATTATTTTGCATGTTTCTTCACGAAAATTCAATGAATGAATCTCATGATGTATTTAACATAAGAAAATGAAGGATAAAAAAGGGTGAAGCGGTGCTGTTTGGCTCGCTGGGGGGGAAGGGGTGGCATTCTGCTAGTTCTCTCATTTTCCTCACCTTTGTAAGGCCGGTATAATGAAGTAGTATCACGTTTTCTATGTATGGTTGTGTCAGTATTAGAAAGTTTGCATTTCTCTACATTGATGGGAACTAGTGGGACCCATAGGGTAGTTGATTAGTCTTTTCAGAAATACCCATGCATCCCAGTTCACATCCAACATCGTAGTAGCATTTTCCAATGTGTCTTTCTTCTTTTTCCAGGGACCATATGTAGCATAATATAGTGTTTTCTGCCTCACCCGCGAATCTTGCAGCACTCCTCAGCCTTAGGATGGCGGTATTGGCTAGCTTGGGCGAAACTGTATCGAATGCGGACTGGGCGTAAGGCAGGCGGCTCCATTTGCTCCCACCCT